GATAGACGAAACGTTTCTACATTTTTTGTTGTTTTGCTTTGTTTTGGGTTTTTTTGAATGTCCAGAGGACCAGATTTAACTTTTTTAGATAAATATTTAGTATGTATCTGATGACTGTTAAATGCCAACTACAGTACAGTTATTTAAGGCTCATATGTATGCCAAAAATCTAAAATCTAAACCCCGGCTTTGTTCCAGACCTCTCACATTTATAGTTTTTCCCTTTTTTTGTCCTTCAGCTGACAGCAGCCATTGTTTTCCTGAGTGTTGGGATTATCACCTCCTTTCTGTGCCTGCTGATTGATGGAGTCTGTATCGCCCTAAACATGGTAAATTCCTTTTTCTTGCATGTGAAAGCTTTAACACAGCAGATGGTTGGTTTTGTAGATTAACTGATGCATCAACAGTAAATTTACCACAGTTCTGTTTTACTGTGATCCAGCTGGTGGAGACTATGCCAGTTTTACCCTGCTGCTAGTAATGACATTAAAACTAGATACCCTTTAAAAAAGCTATCATATCCAGATGCATGCTCAATAATCCAGGTAACTAACAAAGTTAAGTCTGATCCTCTGGACGGATTCAAAAAAAAAAAAATGAAAATTTTTTTTTAAATAAATATAAATAAAATGAATAAAAATGTAAAACTTGTTGAAACATTTTGTCTTTTATTCCAAAGACTTTTTCAGTCTGAGGAGCTGCAATAAACTCAGTCTTAGGGTGCATTCACACCAGCCCTGTTTAGTCCGCTTTAATCGAACTCTAGCTTGTTTTCCTAGAAAGTCCGGTCCGTTTAGGGAGGTGTGAACGTGCCATTGAACTCTGTCACAGAACAAATAGGCGAACTTTGGCCCGGGCTAAAACCTAGGTCTCGGTCCGGTACAATAGAACTCCAGCGCGGTTCGAGTACAGTGTGAATGTAAACAGACCAGGCCCCGCTCCACAAGCAAGAAGTGGAGTAAAGCACAGGGCAAAAAAAAACCACGCATTTCTCTTACCTTATATGGAGCCGTCAGCTGCCTTGTGTGGAAAAACTATCTCCATGGTCTTCTGTCTCATCTTCTGCTCATGCTGAGTCCATTGTTGAAAAATGACAAAATATAACTCCTAAAACTGCTAAAACTTGATCTTCTGTGCTGGGCCATCCTTTTGGCCAGTGGCTGTTTAGTTTCCCCG